TTGATTGTTATTTCTGCATTTTTTGTCTGTTTCTGTTTTGAATCGCCCCCCCTCTGCCTCCGTGTTACCATACCTATTTTAACATGGCATTTAAGAATTTACTGATGTAGGGACAAGTCCTCATGTAGCTAGGCTGGCCTTGAACTTGCTGTGTAGGTAAGGATGATCTTGAACTTCTCATCCTACTGCCTCTACCTTCCCAGCAATGAGCGCTTCAACTGTCAATACAGAAACTTGAAAAGGAGAAGGAAATCCTACTTATTCCTATTTTTGATTACTGTAGTCTTTCCTCCTGATGCCTAAAGATTATTTCTTCTGTGATTTTTCTTTTGTTTTAGAGAATTTGGGTGACAGTTCTTTTAGGAGAGGTCTGATGGTGATGAGTACTTTTAATTTTCCTACAGCTGTGAACAGCTTGTTTTTGTTTTTGTTTTTCAGTGCTTGAAAGATGTTTTTGCTGAATTCAGGTTTGGGGGTTAACAATCTCTTTCTCCTAATACTCTTGAAAACCATGGGTTATTTTGTAGGATTTCGGGCAAACCACTCTCATTCAGGTGTCCTTCCCCTGTCAGCAAGGAATGATTTTGTCCTCCTGCTACCGGCAACGATTTGTTTTGGGTTGCAGTTTTTTTTTTTTTTTTTTTGAGGGATGAACCTAGGTGCGAATGTCTTCGTGTTTAATTTGGGAGAGGGGTATTTACTTAGTTTTATATCTTTTGCCAAATTCAGTAGTCTTCTCTCTCTTGGGAAAACTACTGCAGTAAAATATATAAGTGATATGTATTTTTATATATACTTAAAAAAAAATTTGCCATGTTAGTTGGCTAGTTTTATGTCAACTTGATACAAGTTAAGAGTCATCTGAGAAGAGGGAGCCTCAGTTGGGAAAATGCACCCACCAGACTGGTCTGTAGGCAAGCCTGTGGGGGCATCTTCTTGACTGATGAGTGATGTGGCAGGATTACTGTGGGTTGTGTAGGTGATCCTGGCTTGTGTAAGAAAGCAAAGGAGTAATCCAGGAAGAGCGTGTCAGGAAGCATGCTCTTCCGTGGCTTCTGCTCCAGCTCCTGCCTCAGGTTCCTACTCTAGATTCCTGTCCTGGCTTCTCTCAGTGATCGACTTACAGGTTGTAAGATGAAATAAACCTTTTTCTCTCCAGGTTGATTTTGGTTATGGCGTTTTTGTCACAGTGGTAGAAACCCTAGCTAAGGCACCATGCTGGCCTTCGTTAGATGTGCTGACCAGAGGTACACTACTGGGCAACCATGTCTGCCATCCATGCTGTAAAGGTGTGCCTGCTACATAACAGGCGCCTATCCCGTGTGTTCCTCGGGCTCTTGTCACCACCGCTCTGTCTGTTCTGGGAGCCTCGCATATGCAGAATTTATAGCACATGCCTGTTGTGTTTAATTAGTGTAATACCTTCAGAGTTTATCATAGCATAGCAATGGGAGCTTCATTCTTCGTAGAGCTGAATAATACCCTTGTGTGTGTCTCTAGTTACATTTTGCTCCATTGGCAGACTGCCTTTTGATGCAGAATGCTTATAATTTTGATGAAGTCCACTTGTCAACCACTAGGCCTTAAATTTTCCAGGCCTTTGTCGTCACAGTCAGGAAATCGTTGCCAAACTCAATGTCTTGAGGTTTTCCTTCTTTGCTTTAATCGGTTTGTAGTTTTAGCTGTTATGTTTAGGATTTTACTCCATTTGAGTGACTTCCTGTATGTGGTTAGGTGACTCTCACATCAGCCTTTGCACGTGGACATCAGTTTCTCTTAACACCATTTGCTGGAGTGATTGTCCTTTCCTTACTGAGTGGCGCTGCTGAGAACTACTTTTCCATATTCGAGAGGGTCCCCTGCATTTTTTATTGTGTAGGCATTTGTCTATGTATCCATCTTTACATCAGTAACATAGTGTTTTGATTACTGTAGTTTTGCATTCATTTTTGAAATCAGGAATTGGAATTCTCCAACCTAGTTCTTTTTAAAGATTCACTTTGGCTATTTTGTTGGGGGTGTGTGTGTCTGAGTTTCCATGTGAATTTTAAGATTGATTTTTCTATTTTGCAAAAGAAAAAAAATAGACAATTGGCTTTTGATGGGATTGTGCGTATCACGCTGAGCAGTGCTGACATCGTTGGTCTTCTGATCCGTAACCATGAGGTGTCACTTTATATTTTAACATTTTTCCTTCATCATTTTAGTTAATTTCTAAGAATTTTATGGTATTACAAATGAAAAATTCAATTTCTTTCTTTTGTCAGTATATAGAACTTCAAATGACTTACGAATGTTGATTTCAGATTGTACTAATTTGCTAATTAAGTTATTCGTTATAATGTTATGTGTGCTCTCACCATGTAAGGTTTTGTCATGTTTACTTTTTCTTTTCTGGTTTGGATGCTTCTATTATTGTTTCGAGTACTTTTTTTATTTATCCTGTTTTCTCTTCTCTTTCTGGGAGTCTGATAGCAGAAGGTTAACATCACTAGTAACTGGTCCCCAGGACCCCAAGGCCTATGTTCAGTTTTAATTTATTACGCTTTTTTCCCCTGTGTGATTGCTCTTACAGGGGGTAGATCCTATCATTCTGCCTCAGTTTCCCAGGCCACACTCAGTTCCTGTCCACTTTATTTTGCTTCCTGAACTTCCAGGCTCTTACATTTCTGTTCATTCCTTCGAATCTTCCCTCTCTTCATCAAGACTTTCTACGTTTTCCATTTGTTTTGATAGTGTTTGTAATTGATCACTGAAGCATCTTTACCGAGGCTGCTGTAAAAATCACTGTCAGGTGACTCTAATGCATTCTGCTATCTCAAAGCTGGCTTCTGCTGATTTTAAAGAGTAAGACTGGTTCTCTGTGTGGTGAGTGATTTTCAGCTGAAAAATGGGTATTTTGAGAAGCAGAATTTTATGCAAACCTTGCTCTAACTGGGTGTTCCTGACATCACTCTAGAAGGGGGCAGCAGGGTGATGCCGTCTTCCTGCCTGCCAAAGTCCAGAAGTCCTCCCCAGGTCCTTGCTACCACTGGGTTTAGACCCTCTAAAGGGGACATTTATGCCTATTTTTCTTTAAGACTGTTTAATCACTTTGCTTGCATTTCATCCATCATTTTTTCCTTGCCTCTTCTTAGATCCTCCGAAGCTGGTATTACACGAGGTTGTAAGCCTCCTAAAGTGTGTGCTGGGAAACGAACTCAGGTGCTCTGGAAGAGCAGCAGCCCCTTTTAAACGCTCAGCCGTCTCTCTAGCTCTGTCTCCTCTCTTTCTTGTGTGACAGCACACACCTGTTGTTACTAAGTAGGCCACATTCAAGAAGTATCAGAACCAGGGGCTTGGATAGCATCAGCGACACTTGTGACATATCATGTCTCATGTCTCTTTTCCTCCCTCCCGCCCACTCGCGTGACAAGTTGTGACACCACATGTGCAGAGGGGAAACTTTCGATACATTACTGTCCCCTGTTGCAACATTCACTGAGCAGATCATAGTGTCTTCTGTCTAGATGGACTGAGTGATTGACATGTCACTGACCAGATACCAGAAGGGACGTTCTCCCGGTGACAGCAGGAGGGTCTCCTTCCATCCATCTGGGAAAAGTGCCCAAGGAAGAAGAACAGGAAAAGATGGACACTTCCAGGAAGCCCCAGTGTTTCTCTCCTTGGCTAAAGGCTGGTGTCAATTAGAGATCAGAAGCAGACAATGTGGCTTGCCTTCAAACACAAGTTGGTGTTAATAATCCTTTAGGCATTTATCACCTTCTGTGTGTAAAAATGCCAGCGTGTGGGCTCAGTCCCCCTGGACACTCCCTGAGAAGACTTGTTGCAGTATGCAATCCTTCTACCACAGCTCTCCCGAGGCATGAGTGTTGAGGCCCAGAGTTCCCCCTTCACATATCAATGGCTCTCCAGGAAAGCCTATGGGCAGGAGCTAGATGAGCACGTGACTGCCATGAAATGGTGAGAGGAAGTTCCGAGGTGTGGGAAGGCCGTCCTGGCTTTTCTCACTCCTTCCCTTCCCCTTTCTCCAACAATGAACACATTTTTGGTTTTGGGTATTTCACCTGATGCGGAGCTAGTTACAAGGATGAGAACAGTGACTTCTAGGCTGCCGGGCTTCGGAAGGTGGCTCCCCCCCACTGAAATGTCGAAAGTACCCCACTGGCAGAGCCAGCAAAGGCTTGTAAGAACCAAGATAACAAAGACGTTGACGCTGAGCCCTGCAGGACTGGTAGAGGCCTGCCGGGCCCAGTGGGCCAGGAAGTACATTGACAGTAGAGGAAATGGCTTTGTAAAGACCTGAGAGTTAGTAGGGCAGCACTGACTAGGGGAAATAGCCTGTCCTGGCAGTGGGGGAGGGGGGTGAGTGGGGCAAGGCCTGATGGCCAGGTCTCCCACACCACGAGAAGACAATCTTGTGTCCAGAGGCTGTGTGTGGAGAAGGGTGAATTATGGGACAGGGCACATGTGCAGTGGTGTCCTGAGGATCTCACCGGTTCGTGAGAGTGACTGTTATCGTGACTAGGAGCCTGGGGGGGGGTAGTGTAGTGGGTTCAGTGATTGTCATGCAGAGATGAGGACCTGAGTGTAAGCCCTGGGACTCATGTTGGAAGCTGGCTGTTGAGGAGGGAACTTGGAATTCCCTGTGCTGGGGAAAAGGAGATGGGCAAAATCCGAGATGCTCACTGGGAGCCCCCAGACACGGTGATGGCTCTTGGGGAATGATACCTAGTTGACCTCTGGCCTCCACACACGCGCGCACACACACACACATAATGCACAAGCAAGTTGATTTTATACTGGCAGTGTAAAATGAATTACAAGGCAGAAACTGGCAAGTGTTACAAAAGTTCTTAGAGATGGTTGTTAAACACCTACTAGCACGCTTGGACGTGTGTGCTCACACGCTAAAAGCAGAGTTTAGCGTGTAGAAGCAGAGGCCTGGCAACAGCTAGAGAAAGGTACACCTGGTGGAACCCGACTCTTCGCACACTCACCAGCCTCAGGTTCTTCATGGCTTGAGGAAACATGCCTCGATGGAGCTGCAGCTTGCCAACTTTCATCACCTGCACACCTCTGACGGGGTGGCTCCCAGGGAAAAAGATCCTGGAAGAGACCAAAGGGCAAATGGTGTCAGTAGCTCTCGCCTAGCAGCCAGCATTTCCTCGGAAGACTGGGAAGTGGGGCATTCTCCGGCTGTGTTAATGAGCTCCTGGAGGGAGATGAGTTTGTGATCTGGAAGCCAATACCGAGGGGAGGGGATGTATAAGCTTTCTTCAGACCCCAGAACACCTTCTGTAGAGAGGTCACGGGGTCATGGTGAAGAGAAACCCAGCTGGACCTGAGGGTTACGTGTAGAGAACGCTGCCTTGCATTGTGGACTATGAAGCTGACCCTGGTTCTCTTCCATGAGGCTCCAACACTAGCTCAGCTCCATCGATACACATGTGTGGAATAAATGAAGAGATCTGCTACACTGGAACACTTAGCCATGGGCTGCATGGGCCCACAGCTCACGGAGGGCACAGGGCCGGCATCATCTAAGGGGATAGCTCCAAAGATGGCCACATGACCATCCAGGCAGATGCCGCCCTCCTTCGGAGAAGCAGCATTCGGGCATGCCCGGATGCTTTCAACATACACGAGCACGTCTCTGATGCCAAATCGAGGCTGCCATGCATTCTCTGCAAAGCCCTCTGACTGGATCCCGGTTGGGGAGCCCATCGTGATTCACCCTGCCCACAGCACCCGTGTGCTCACACTCTCGGACCACTGGCTAAGGTGCCCAGTCTGCAGTGCATTCTCACAGCATCCAACACGGGGCAGGAACTTAATTTACAGTTGAGGTCTTTCGTACTGTCTTGGTTTCTTTCCCTGTTTCCGCAATAAAACACCCTGACAAAAGTCACTTAAGGGAGAAAGGGCTCATTTGCCTGACGGTGCCAGGCTACAGCCTGTCACGGCAGGAAATTGCAGTGGCCAGAGCTTGAGACACTTGGCAATACTGTGTCAATCTGCAATCAATACAGTTCCCTCTAGACCTGCTCCGAGGCTGGCCCGGCTGACCTGTGGACAACCCCATGCAGGTGTGCCCAGAGGCTCATCTCCGATGTGTCAGGCTGGCGATTAAACAATCACGGGCATACAGCGCCACACATGGTGGTATGGTGATGGATCAGAGAATGAGGGCTCAGGACTGTGTCATTCATACTGGACCCTACAGTATGGTCTCTTCTGCCCCTGATAGGCTCTAAGGTAGCGGGTCTCAACCTTCCCCAGGCTGCGACCCTCTAACGCAGTTCATCATGTTGTGGTGACCCCCAACCATAAAATTGTTTTCAATTGCTACTTCACAACTGTGATTTTGCTACTGTCATGAGTCGTAATGTAAATATTTGGGGGAGGTAGAGGTTTGCCAGAAGGGTCGTGACCCACAGGTTGAGAGCTGCTGCTCTAAGCAAATACTGAGCTTCTGGTGTATGTGAATGCAGGATTACGCCTAGGCCTGAGGGGAAAAAACACACTGGACAAACATGAGCGTTTCCTTCAAGACCCAATGATCCCACCAGACATAAACATTCACACAAGGGTTAAAATAACATTACAGGAAGGAGTGTGATCTAGTGCCCAAATCCTGTGAGCTCTATATTCAGTTCAAATCTGTTGACCCGAGTGGAAGGAGAGAATGATACAGAAGTTAATGGAGAGAACTGATGGGGGGCTGGGTGCACTGGAGAAGGACACACGGGATAGGCTGGCTCCCAAGAACTTGGAATGGCTGTAGAAATGGAAGAAGGAGGGGCATTTAGTTAGACAACAAGAGAGAGTCCAACCAGGACATACACCCAACGTGGAGACGGGAGGTTCCTGTCTTTATAGCCCGTGGCCACACAGACAGTCCAGGAGCTGACTTAGAAAGGGCCAGCCCCGTGTCTAAGCTGTGGCTCTGCCTCAGCTGCCCTTCAAGCGGGAGCCCACTGAATCCATAGTTAAGATCTCCTGGGTAACAGATCCTCTGCACCTCGTTTCCCTGATTCAGCTCCTCTCTGCACAATGCGATGTGGAAAGCCATCCATTCGTGCTCTTAAAAAGGTAAGATTGCTAAGCTGGGGCAAGCACTGTGCCACAGAAGGCGGGCCGTGCCTGCTTTGAAGACCCAGGAAGGGAGGAGAGGGAGAACAAAAGCAGACACCTGGGTCCCCGATCCCCTTCATCTCTGGTGTATGCTACGAGGTCAACCATTTCAGTGCTTGTCCCTTCCAGAATGAACAGCATTATGGGGTTGTATGGAAACGATTCTGAGATCCTCAGACAAAAGGCTTGAGTGCAGGAGGCCATTATCAGAAGGTAATTGCCCCGGACACGTTCCCTGAAAAGCACACCTGGATTTGGGATTTGATTTTATTGCTGTGAATACGGTATAGTTAAATTTAAAGGCCAAAAAGTAATTTTATACTAATAATCTCTCGCTAAGTGGGTGTCTGTCACGTCAGGGAGCGGAGGGAAAGAAAATCTTCGGCTCTGTGATGGCAGAGAAAGTGGTAGATAATTACTCCGTGACGGGTACCTGCCTCGGTCACCGGAAGATTAAAAACTGAGTAGAGTTTCTTAAGAGAGGGTGAGCAGGAGGTTCCTATGTGTGTGTGTGATGGGGGGGGGACGCCCACACAAAATCCCGTGAGCCCGCTCTTAGGAAGGGGGTGCTGGGGACTTCTGTTCCTGAGGTCTCCCAGCTGACCTGTGGAATCAGAGGTAAGCTTACTGGTTGGAGCAGCACCCCGGGAGCCCTGGGGGAGGCTCACTCCTGCTGGGTGGTCCACTTGGGATGTAGGCTTTCGTGAACCTCCTGCGAAGGGAAGCGATGAGAGAGGGCAGCGTCTGCTGGCCCTCACCTAACAGGGCTCTCGGGGTGTCGAACGAGGCTGCACAGGGAGCCTGCAGGTGTGCTGGGTGGAACAGGAGTGAGGGTGTGAAAGCAAGGGGGGAGGCGCGGCTGTGGGAGGCTGGGTTCTGGGGCGAGTGCTTTCAGACACCTGCACAGGTCTGTGCTGTGTTCTCACCCTTGCTGAACACAGAGCTGAGCTGAGGAAATAAGGACTAAGTCACAACACAGAGAGGGACTTGAGTGTCCCTCCCCACTCCCGACACAGCGGCCAGGGCCACACTGACTTGGGGAGCAGAATGAGGGAGAGAAGGATGGGTGCTGGGCCTGGCCCGTGGCACCTGGGAAGGGGCAGGTCATTCTACCAAGGGTAGGAGAGGTTGGACGAAGATGTGGCGGGGAGCAACCTGAGGCCAGGCCACACACTGCAGACTTAGCGAGTGCCCAGGTCTTCCTATCAGGTGACACTCGACTGAGGGGAAGGAAGACACATCACCAGATGGAAAATATGGAGAACTGGAGAAGAGGCCCCTAGTGTCAAAGACGGTGGCCGCTGTCTTAAGTCTTTTAAAAAAAATGAAGGATTTGAGACGAACAAGGTCAGAGAGTTGGTTCAACAGCATCTGGGGACCGGCTAGGACACAGCAGTCACACAGTCGCGTCCCCCAGACTCAGAAACATCTTGACAAAAACACGTGAGAAGTACATAACACCACAATCAGCTGGCAGGGTACTCTACTCATCTGGGCACTGCAGATGTTCTAATTCACAGGAACAAGGCAAGCAATCCCACACCCCAGAAAGCTGGGCAGAGAACGCAGAAACTGCCCTAGCACTGCTCTGGTGAAACAGGGGGAACGCCTCTGAACAGAGAACCCGGCGCTGGGGGGAGGGGGAGAGAGGAGGGAGGCGCATATATACACTAGCTTCAGTTCCAGCTGTAGGCACATGAGGTCTTGCTGCTCTCACGGTTCAGCAGAGGCTGGGGAACAGGGAATGGGAATACTTGAGAATTCAAAGAACCCAGAGGAGAGCAGCCCTGTGCAGGGGGCCTTTGCTGCACGCCCAGCTCTCTCCATGTGATACAGGGACACTCGAGATTGCCTCAGCTGTGCTGGGGCTTTTGTATTTCCACCGCAGGAAGAAGCATTTATTTCTCAGGTCTGTTTGTAAGACCTGACCGCGAAGCATTTGCTGGTCCTGAAACGAGAGCTTAACCTGCCGGTTGGCTCTGCGTCTCTGAATGGATATACAGCTCTAGCTGGATGGATTTTAGCTGAGAGGTGCAGGATGGTGATGGAGCTTGAGCGACTTCTAAAAATCTGATCCAGGGGGAAAAAATGTATCCGTAGATGAAGCTGCTAGATGAAAGGATGGTGGGGAGGCTTCCAGGGGTGGGGTTAGGTTGTTGCAAGCTGACGCCACTGATCAGTCACTGACATGGGGCAAGCAGACTTTGAGTGCTGTCTGATGGGGCCACTGCTGAAGTGCTTTTGCATTACCTACACAGCATCCTTGCCAAACCAAACAGAAACCAACAAACCAAAGCAGAATCTAATGGAGCCCATAAAATTAAACTCCATTTTATGGGAAACACAAGTGATAAAGGCGTGTGTGGAAGCAGCTGGCTGAGCCCAGGGTGTGGGAATGCACAGGACCTCTGAGCAGGGTCCTTCACAGGTCATGGCGGGAAGGGGGGGAGATGACAGGGTGGAGCATCGCAGACTTAGTGAGTTAAGAGATATAATATGCAAATGTAACTCACAGCCTGGGGCACCCTGATTCAAAGAGAGCAGTGGTGAAAAGACCTTTCTCAGATAACGGCAGGAACCCGAACATGGGATGCATTTGAGCTTTAAGGAAATGTCCACCTGTTTTGTATTAAATGATGTAATGTCTGAGATGTGATTTAACTATCTTCTGCAGAATCCGTTTTCCCAGCAATGGTGGATTAGCTTGCTTCAGACTGACTCCTGCTATGAACAAGACAAAATGGTCAAAATATTTGTAAAACCTTGTTTGAAGGTGAGCCAGACCATGGAAGCAGCAGGGTCCTAAAGACTCACAATTATGGGAAAGGACTGGAAGGCCTTATGAGCGGAGCGGTGCCATTTTTCCCTGTGAGTCAGGGCCAGGAAGGCCAGGCAGCTGAGCAATGGCTCAGGAGGCTTCCGGTACAAGAACACTCAGCAACCTACACTGAGGATTCAAAAAGGAGGAAGCG